GAATCAGCAGCTGAGTAAAAAATGCGTGCGACAAGAAGTCCGTCAGCGGATCGAAGTAATGCGGCTCACTTAGTAACTGAAGGTGCAATTTTCACAAAGCCATATTTTTAGAACCTTTTTATATCCGTATAAGGAAAAACTTTCGAGCATGACGCATTCATCTTTAATTTGTATTCAGTAGTCATTTGAACTTAAGTATAAGTAATGTTTGGCGTTTGATACCACAATACCGTAATCGTTGGAATTTTTGTTAAAGAAATTCACATAATAACATTGCTTATACTTTTTAAAACACCGCCACAGTTTTGAATATCAATTATTAAATTAAACGAAACTCAGCGCAAAGAAACCTTTCAGAAGAAAAAGAAACGAAATTGGCATTGAGTCATTGCAATCTGGAGAATTAAATGCGATTTTCTAATGACAGGACAACTCCAAAAATTTGCTATCTGGATCGCTTTGTAAGAAATGGGAGTCCTGAAGTTTGTCTGAAGCCGTTCACCATGAAACATTGAAAAGCTTGTAGAATTATTGACATATCGAAACCATAGTATTTCCACTATTCTTAAAAGAAGGACAAGCATAAGATCAAATACTTTAGTTCAATCTACAGGTTCCAAACTATCTAATTACCTCCATGATTGCCGCGTTTGATGGTGTCAGCGTCTTTTTGGGTGTTTATGTATAAAATGTTTCTCACCATATCAACTTGTAAAAAGAAGTTCGGGCGAGAATGAATTATTTCAACATGCAAGCCTTGAAAATCAAAAATATGTGTCAATCAAGTGTTCCTACATCTTGGTATAATAGGTATCATATATCCTCACCTTTTTTTCGTAAGTTCGCTTGCTATAGACTCTTCTCCTCCGTTTCTACTTTTCAGTACCTGGTCTGTAAAGTGGGCAACGGACCACCCAGGAAGATTTTGAATATTTTATGTGTATCTCAAGAAAAATTCTTTTAGTTGTTGAAGTCATTAGCGTATAGCCTCATAGAAAATTTGCAATAACATTTTTTTCGGAATTTTGGCAATTGTGTAGGATGCACGGCTGTAAATTTATTTATCTGTTAAGACTTTTAATTCTAAGGTTCCTTACTTATTTAATAGAGATTGAAGTAACCGAATTGTTGCACACCGTCAACCCATTGGCGAAACTAGTGTCTAAGATGCGAAAAAAAACATATTAGTATATATCCAGTGACAGACGATTACACACCAATTTCGAAACTGCTACATTGCCCTTCTCACTGTGCAACCTTCTGTTATGGTTAACTTTGTCCTACATGAATTAAGGAAGGATAATTTCTTATTCAAACACATTTCCCTGGTCCAGAATCGTTTCATTTTAGCGTATTATTAAATAACTTCTGATCAGTTTTCGATTGAAATCCAATTCTTAGGTGATCAAACTTGCCATCCATACAGATCCAGATCTTGGACCTCTTAAAAATGCTAAAATTACATAGTTGATTTTTGAACTACGCTCAAATGATTACCAGGTATCTTGTTGGTTGTTTTTAGTAACAATACAGAGGTACTAAGATGTTTTATGAGCTTGTTTACGACAATGGGTTGCAGTGTTACCCCCTCCACCACTAGAAATCGGCTGTTGGCGAATCGATTCTCAAGTCTCACCAGATTCCACCCAATGCATTTGGACTTATTCCTTGACTTTGGAATAATGCAATAGTTTTACTGCTATAAGCTTTCGTCTCATTATGTGATCAGTGATTGTTCAACCTCTCAGAACGACCTTTTGAAAGTGAAGTTTAAGTTCGAGGGGAAGAGACAGATAAAGATATGCCTTAGCCCAATTTGTAGGGAAGCTAGTGGTAGTTTCATTTTGCATAGAGTTTGGCAACGAGTAGGTAAGCAAATGCCCTGATCAGATATTTGTGCATCCCTCGTTCGTATCGTAAG